CCCCGCAAAGTGAAATTTAATTTCACTTTTATGTCTACATCTTTCTGATGAAGCTACAGTGTAGCGAAACATGTTAAAGTTTAACAAAAAATTAGTGGAAATAAATAAGTATAATAATTTACTTTAAAAAAAAAAAAAAAAATCTTTTACTAAAGGGTCGATACTTTTGCTCTCGATTAACGAATTTGATACGTTGTCAAAGTTTTGCATGGGCCAAGGTCTATTTATTTATTTATTTTTTATACGGGATAACCCCATTAACAGCAAAATTACAACAAAAAATAATAAATTGGTTAGGTATATACATTATAAAACCTGCACCAAGTAAGCGTTAACACTAAGAGAAAAACAAGAAACAACAAAATTTAAACTTAACGAAAAACAATCTAAGCTACCCAGAAAAGAAAAAAAAATATATACACATACTTAAGGAGAAAAAAAAAAAACAAAAATAAAATAGATTAACTATCAATCAACAAAAACAAAATTAATTAAAGTAATACTGCTCCACACCATTATTTTCATAACAAAACTGCCCTTTTAAAAATCCCTATCGATACATTAAAGACATCAATATCATGACAATTAATTAAAGACATATACCTATGTAAACGGCTGTTAACCCCATATGTTGTCCTATGGAAAGGAATATGGAACACATTATTGTTGCGTAGACCCTGATAATATGGTACATTTAAACCTACATAATTCAAGAGATCTGGGCTGTCAATCAAGCCATTTACAATTTTATAAATAAAAACGGCACCAAACACATCACGGCGATTTCCCAAAGGACTTAGGGATAGTTGACGCTCAATATTATCGTAGTCATGGTCAATGATTGTAGGAAAATTATACCTAAAAGCACATATTCTCAAAAATTTATGTTGCACTCTTTCCAATAATGCAGAGTGAACATGAAAAAAGGGAGACCACACAACTGAACCATACTCTAGCACTGACCGCACTAAAGAGCAGTAAACAAGCCTCACTGATTCAACAGAAAAATACCTGCAGTTTCTATTAATAAAACCTAACATTTTTGACCCCCTTATACTTATTGAGATAACATGTTCAACAAATGACAATTTCTCATCGAATATAACGCCTAGATCCGCAACGGATGATACATACTTAAGTTGTTGACCTTCTATTGTATAATCTGTTCCCATTCTGTTTGGTTTCCTTGTGAAACTTATAAAGCAACATTTCTTTACATTCAAAAATAATTTGTTTGACACGTACCATTCTATCACACGATCTAAATCTTCTTGCAGCATATTTAATATCGTCTGCAAATAACAAGCATAAACTATATAAAAAACAATCAACAATGTCATTAACAAAAATATTAAATAGCAGTGGTGAACAATGTCCACCCTGCGGTACTCCTGATGTAACATAGATAATATCAGAGAAAAAACTGCCAATCTTAACCCGTTGAACACGGCCCCTCAAAGAACTCTCAAACCATAGAACAAGACCAAAGTTGAAACCAAACTTTTGTAGTTTTTGAAGCAATATATGATGATCAACTCGATCAAAAGCTTTCGAGAAGTCTGTGTAAATCGCGTCTATTTGCTTCCTGTTCTCCATGCTAAGTAAAATATCGGACTGATAAGTTATGAGGTTGGTTGCAGTTGACCTGCCCTCTGAGAAGCCATGCTGTTTTTGAGAAATAACACCTTTGCACTGCCAATGCAATTGTTTACTAACGAGACAGTCAAACAGTTTAGGTATAGCTGATTGGATACATATACTGCGATAGTTCTCCACATTGTCCTTTTTACCGCTCTTGAATATTGGAACAATGTGACTAACTTTCCATTTGTCAGGAAATGTAGATAACTTCAAAGACTTATTATATAGTAAATGCAAAGGCAGCACAATGGTACAGACACATTGTTTTAATAGAAAATTTGGTATTCCATCGGGTCCAGAAGTAAGTTTATTTGGCAGTTTGCTAATCTCAATGAAGATATCAGTTTTTGAAATTTCAGAATAATTAATGTTTGTACTCAAATTGTTATCATTAAAGTCTGAAGAAAGATCGGTGGAAGATGTGTTTTTCGTGTAAACAGTTTGGAAGAATTCCTTGAAGAGATTGGCTATGTCCTGGCCATTATGAGCAGACTGGGCACCATAAGAAAAAGCACTGGGCAAACTATGACTTGACCTCTTATCTTTAATATACTTCCAAAAAGACTTAGGGTCTTCCTTCAGTTTGAGATCGATACCCCTAATGTAAACATCAAAACAGTGCTCTGAAAGTTTTTTACATTCTGAACGAAGCTTCGAAAACCTTAAATAATTATCTTCGGAACGATCCTTGATATAGAGGGTGTGAGCATGTTTCTTTTCAACAGTTAGTTTCCTTAACTCAGACGAAAACCACTTTGGAAAAGAAGATGTTTTATACATTTTTAGGGGTATAAAAAAGGCAACACCAGTAGACAAAATTTCGTAAAATAGATTAGTATTCTCATTAACATCATTATTACCTAGTAATGCTACCCAATTCATAGAAGCCAGATAATTATTCAGTTCTCTATAGTTACCATTACGAAAGTCATAGTAAAATTCATCGTATGCAAGAATCTCATCCTTACAATTATAAGAAATAGGTAGGACACATTCATAGCTTATGTGATGCATATTTAAATCTAAAAGAGAATCACATGCTCTTCTTACATCTAAGGGTTTAACATTGGAAAAAACTAAATCTAAAAAAACACCTCGATTATTTGGTATGTTATTATGCTGAAAGAACTTCAGATAGCCAAGAGATTGGGCTACTTCTACTGCTGGATCCCCACCAGGGCAGTGCACCATTACTCCTAGATCATCATTATACCACTGAGCATTGGGTAAGTTAAAGTCACCAAACAAGTACATGTCAATACCATCATAATGTTGATAAACATTTTCCACTGTTGTACTATGCCAGTTATATGCATCACGGGAGGATTGTGGTGGTATATATACTCCACCTACTATGAATTTCCTGTTATTTAGTTGACATAAAATGAACAGCTGCTCCACTCTGGTTTCAGTTATATTGATATGTCGCGATTGTACTTTGTCCCTAACAAATATCAGTACACCCCCACCGCTAGCTTTTTTACTAGTCATAGAATTTCTGTCACTTCGATATAGACAAAAACCTTGGCAATTGACTTCACTGTCGGAGATAAATTCAGCTAGGTTACTTTCTACCAGGATAATTACATCATACGCACAACAAGCTACTTTTTGTAAGAGATCATTTAATTTGGTTCTCAGCCCTCCTACATTTTGGAAGTAAACGGTTAATGGGGTGCTGGTATGTTTTTTTGTTGCTTGGGCTCAACCACAGGATGCCCATTATGGTACCTTATGATTATATTTTCCTCCCCCGCAGCTTTTCTGCTATCAAACAAAGTTTTCACTTTTTTATTAGCCTCCTGTTGCATTGGCGTCTGATCAGTAGAGATCCTAAATTGCGTACCCAGCAGGGCAGCAGGTCTATATAAGTATGATGTGGTTAGAGCACATTCAAAGCCCTGATTATTTTTAACGGCTGTCAAATGAGAGCAAAAGTACCGGCACTAAATAAATTAGGCAATTCAATCTATGTGTCAAAACGGAAAATTCAATGTGACGTGGCGGCCAAGCAAGTTTGTTTTGGATATGTTTTTAAGCGTATTTTAAATTATTTTGCATACAGTTTTGCTTACAACTTTGATTTTCATTATTTAATAAAATATTTGTTGACTAGGTACCTGATCTATTAATTTCGGCAGAAACTAGATATTTTTTTGTGTTTTTTGGCCCATGTGTGGCCGCCACGCCATCTTGAATGTCACCTGGTTTGAATTGCCTTATAGACCTATCTATTTTACCTTTTACCAGACAAAGAGGTAATAATACGAAAACTTCATTAAATAAAAAAAGACACAGAAGGCTCATTGCGCAAGACGAGGCAAAACGTACCAAATTATGTTAGACTTACGTATAGCAATCCGTCGTTCTTATTTGCACAGGATAAAAAGGAAAGGAGAAAAACCGCATGTTGTGCAACGTATTTGTCAATGAAAATGTCAAATAACTTTTGAATGACACTTGTCAAGTTGAATATCAACTTTAGATTTATTCTTGTCAGACTACGTGCAATGAACAAGGATAAAGAGATGCCCAGCGTGTAAAACGATCACCTCACACCTGTATTAGCTGGCCAATAAAAAGACATTGCCTCATGTTGCGCGCGCATACCAGGTAAAAATAGATAGGTCTATTCAGTTTCAATTTCAATTGAAAATAAATTAATAAAAACAACAAACTGAACCTGAAACTCTCGTCCTAACTAGAACCCGAACTAGAAATACGTGACGTGAGTCGTAACTTGATAGGCAGCTGATCAGCCTATATGAATTGCGTGTACGATCAAACAACTTAGCTCAGCTAAGAAACTAACTTTAACTTGAGGTAAGAAAAGTGCTTGATCGTAAGCAGCTCATAATCAGCATGTACAAATTGAAGCACGTTATGTTTAAAAAAAAAAAACTTTACAAAATGACCATCAATATAATACTAGGTTAATTAATAATAAAGAAATTGAATCTCAGTTCTAATGAAATCGAAATTATTCATGATTCTTTCCTGTATAGCGTGATAGAAACAGACACTTGGCAACAATGTTTTGCGCGTGCGTAACAGAATTATTCTAATTTGAAAAGGTCTATAGCTTTGAATTTTTTTTTTGCAAATTCACCACGTTGTTGATGAAAACTTTTGAATGAACGAAGAGAATAAAGCAAGATGCTTCCTTAGGATGCTTCTACCTGTACATCCAATTTTAACAGCACTGGCTACTGACTCTGTGACTACTACCATCAGCTTCCTGAGCAATAAGCAGGAAATAGGTAATAATTTAAGGCCAGAGCGAACACCTAGCCTAGCACAATATCAAATAGCAGCCTACAGGCTAGAATGTAAGCTAAAAAATTAATAAAAAAACTTACCAACATAAAATACGAAATTCAATAAAAAACAACAACCGTCACTACCACACAACCTAATAACACAACACAAATGAATGCTTGCCGCCACTACTTGCTTGTATCTGAGCCCCGTTCGAAAACATGTAGGTACCGTATTTGTTTGACATGAGCTTTGTTTCGGTTCGAAATTTGGAACGGTTCTGGGATTGCGCAGAACTGCGCCGCCATATTGGTGCACTTTGCGACGTCACCTGTTTGCGCCAGCGGTCGTGGTTTAGAATTTAAATTTATGAGGAAAAATATTATTTAATTTCGATTAACATAATAGGCAAAAAGGGAAATGCGAACGAGATCTAAAAAGTGGTTGTTTTGAATGGTAATTATTGTAGTAAAACCGAGTCCAAGTATGCATGAAGCACAAGCCCGCGGAATCATAATCTATGGTGCAAACAGCCTACGTCAAGGTGAGAAACGACATGCTGCCTACGTCACAATTGGTGATTTGGCGTGGTGAGGGATTTCAGATTTGTTCCACACAGGCCTTATGAGGATAGGCTACCCTGTAGTAGTAGTGTGAATAATAATTGTCCTTGATGTTCTTCAACGTTCGCGAATGTTTTGCGTTGTTTGTTGCACCGGTCTGGATGCACCATACTAGTTCTGAACCGATCCGGAACAGAAAAAATCAAAACAAACAGCAGATTCAAGATTCAATAAACTTTATTGTCAAAAAAATACAATTTTTTTATAGACAAAGCAGGATAAATTTAGCAGTACAAAAAAAATAAAATAAAATACAATAATAACATTAATAAACAAAATTGCCCAATTAAGGCCATACATTTTCGTACAGGCTTATGCCCGTATTACATCTGTGTATTTTTCCGTGTATTTAACATGTAGTTCAGCGTGACAACCGAGAAACGTCAAACACAACATAAATCAGCATTATGAAAAACAAAATAATGATGGCACTAAGGGTTGCCACCTTTTGATTTCCGAAAACCCGTACATAATCGAAGCTAACTTTTTTTTGTAGCATAATTTACACTCGTATCTGTAAAATGAATTTTTAGAAACAAATTAAAAAAGGTACCTACCTACTTAATTTCAAACGTAGTTACAGAGACACTTGTAAGTGAACAGAACGACACAATACATACATAATTATTTGTTTTATTAGGCAGAAAAGCACAATATTCAATGCCGCGGCAAGGTTTCCATAGCCGAAGGCGAAGCTAGGAAACCAACCAAGGCATTAAATTTGATCTTTTGCCATGTGAAACCATTTTTTCTCCGAATTTGTTACAACACGCATAATCCACTTTTTTATGTTTATCAATTATTGCGCTGATAACGTTTGTTGAATGGATAGCAACGAACTTTTCTGCCTAGGCAGAGAAAGTCAATTTTTCCATCCCTAGGTAGATAGTAGGTAGGTTCAGAAATTAGTTGGGTATATCCTAAGGCGTTCGACATTCGCCTTTATAAATTTTATGTTAAGTATTAATTATTATTAATTATATAGTTATCCAGATATTCCCGGACATTTTCATCATGCGTCCGGACACCGGAGAAACCTTTAAAAAACCGGACAGTCCGGGTGCAAAACGGACAGGTGGCAACCCTAGATGGCACCCTGAACTACATGAATAAATACACGAAAATATACACAGATGTAATACAGGCATTAGAAACTAATAAACTCAATAAATATTACATTTGACATCTACATAATTACCTAATTTCCATTGAAATCAATTTGTAAATATCTAAAAACAAACAAGTATCAAAAAAATAATACAGACAGTTACATTCATTAAACAAAAAGTTACTGGGGGTTTAATAAAAGCAAACGGCAAAAATCAGCCCTAAGTCATGAATAAAGTGTTCTAGTATGCTAGAAAGTGTCATCATAGTACTCAGCCAAATCATAGTAAGCCTTTTCTCTTAATAAATTCTTAACTGACCTACGAAACCCTCTATGTAGTTTCCAGAAGACTAACAATAAGTTGGAAGTTTATTATAAATCTTAATACTCTCGAAAATTACTGAGTGGGCCTTATTCTGTAAGGAACGACCCGTTCGATTCGGTAGAATTTCTTCGATTGTGACGTCATTTTCGGTTTGGTAGCGCGGAAACCAAACCAAAAATGACGTCACAATCGAAGAAATTCTACCGAATCGAACGGTTCGTTTTTTACAGAATAAGGCCCCGTCAAAGCAAATCTTATGGCGTTTCCGATTGGTAGATTCAGTGCGCACTGAGTGTATTTGCATCTTTTTAAGCAACCTGTAGAAGAAAAAGACAGAAATAGAAAAAATTGCACTAGTTCCGCACTAGATCTACCAATCGGAAACGCCATAAGAATTTGGAGTGGAACATCGTTGCGATTTCGAGTACTGTAAGTGCATGAGCATGAGTGTGATCCCCATATTTTTTAAATATCAAACAAACCGTCTCCAATATAAATAAACAAACGACCGTCAAAATCTGCTCTCTCAAAAAGAGTTCCTCCTTCGGAGTAAGAACTGAGAGAACCGTTCTAGAACAATTCCTGAATTGTTCTAGTTCTATAATCCAAATGCCGTGAACATAGTTCTTTAACAATTCTGAAACAAAATAGTTATTTATGTATCAAGGGAATTATGAGGGTGTTAATACCCCAGGGCAAAGTTTGTATCCCGAGGGCCTTCGGCCCGAGGGACACTAATAAAATTGCCCGTGGGTATTAACATCTGATAATTCCCGTGGTTCATAGATAATTTTATTTCCTACTGAATTTACTGTATTTTGTCCATTTTTATAAAGGAATAAACCATAACCCAAAATTTCTATTTTTTGTCAAAATTTCACCTATTCAAGGTAAAAGCGGCAGTTTTGGAAATTCTTAACTCCCTTGGGAGTTATAGTATCCTTAACTCCCGCGCGAGAGTTATGAAATCCCTAACTCCCTTGGGGGTTAAGACCCTGTTTATGATTATCGTAACCAAGGTATTATATGGTGATAATAGTTCAGTAGGAAATAAAAGCTTTTTATAGCATGCGCAATACGCATGGTGCAGAAATGATTCCGCATTAGTTCTGATTTCTGAGTAAAACTAAAACAGCTATGGCTGTGATGAATGATAATCGAACTTAGGCCCAGTACTCATAGCTGCGAAATTCGCATTTTTTTGATATTGCGTTTACAATTTGACTTTTTATGCGTGTATCAAACGTCAAATTGTCGAAGCAATGTCAAAAAAATGCGAACTTCGCAGTTATGAGTACTAGGCTTAAAGCTTAGGCGACGTTCCGTAAGTTAACCAAGATTCTTGGTTTTTCCGGTTCTCGTTCCGTAACCTAACCACTCCTGAAATCTGGTTAGGTTATGAAACGCGATGCCATACATAAACCGCATATTCAGGAACCAGACTGTCACCATAAACGAACCGCTCCATACCAATCGGTAACTCTGGTTAAGATACGGAACGCCGCCTTAATTCTCACTTGCGCGAAATTCGCTGTTTTTTGACATTGCTTTGACAATTTGACGTTTGATACACGCATAAAACGTCAAATTTTTGAAGCAATGTCAAAAAAAGAACGAATTTCGCGCAAAAAGAGCGAATTTCGCGCAACTGTCAATGAGGTATAACACGGTACGTCCGGAGCTGTCGATTCGATATTCGATATCGAGACAATTCGACTCGACTCATAAAATAGAATCTGGGGGCAGATTATGTTTGATTATCCTTGCGAAAAATTGCCTAATTGTTTTAAAACGATTGTATTTCGAAACCTTTTAAACCAATTTTGATGTGACGTCGTGGGTTTATCGCCAGACTATTTCAAACCTGTTTTGAACCACTTTCAAAACAGTGAACGCGAGAAAACAGCTTTTTCGAACGTGCCTCCGTCAGTGTACCTGTCTGTCAGATGTCAATGTCAGCTGTTGACCATCCTGTTGACTATTTACAATTTACATTTTACAAAAGGTGAACAGTCAACAACTTTCTCCTTTCTTGAGTTTGTGAATGAATAATTTGTGAATATTTGGAAAAACCGCTGCACGATTCGAATTTCGAATAAACAAATAATGTAAAGAATTTTTTTCAAGTGGTTTTTTCCTGGAAGGATTGGCTCATCGCCCTCATCATGGTGCTCGATTTGAATTCACCAGCTCATACTTTATGGAAGAGTGATCGTAAGTGATTTCAATTGAATAGCCTAGTTTGTCAAGTGTTGATAATCAATTTTTATCCATTATTTAAAAGTGTGGTGAATAAGCATGCAGTCGAAAATGTCTACAGTGATAAAATGTAATGTACTTTTTCATACTTTCATATACCTACCTAACTAATTATTTGTACAACTCTCGATACAAATAGATCAGAAGCTCATTCTTGATACTTTACTGTATCCTATTAATCCAATGGGCAACCCTTACAATATTGGCAGAGAATATGTGTACCTCGATGTGTCCGTATTCTAATTTCTAATAGCTAGATAACATTGAAACTGACTGAGAAATACTTTAGACTTCAGATGCGAGTCCAGGCAGCAACCATATACAGAAACTGCCTCATTGAAACAAACAAGCTTTCAAGAAAGTTCAGGGCAGCATCAACACCTGATTTTAGAGCATAAACTGAGGTTGCAGCAAATACAATAGGTCTGTTTCTGCAGAAATCACAAACCAGTCAGAGCAAATTTCATTGGTTGAAAACAGTCACAAAACTAGTTTCAACCAACGAAATTCACTCTGACTGGTTGGTGATTTCTGCAGAAACAGACCTTAGGTATATTACTAAGTTTCTCCACGTTTGATCTAAAAATGTCATTTCGTGTTTGTCTAGCTGATTGCAGAGAACCGATTCAATTTCATCCTCGATTTTACCAATACCACAAATCCTAACAATAATTTTCCATTTTTAACTTGCTCTACAAGCTAGCTTAGAACTTGATACAAACTATGTTAAGCTTGATGTTAAGTTTATCTTTGTTACCTTCCATATTATTTGTATTGCACCACAAAATGTGTGACTCTAGTATTATAGTGATCATTTATTTTTTGATTATACTGTACTTTTGGAGGTACTTTTGTATTCTTGTTGTGTGTACCTATAGGTAGTTCAAGTCAAATCAAATCAATTTTTTTTTTTTAAATCTTATTGGACAAAGCGAAACTTAAATCTATAAACAAAGCTCCTGAGGGAAAATGATAAGCCTTAACAAAAATTAAACAATAGAACTGAAACAACTACCAAGCAGTGACTCATGACTCACTGGAAATTTTGCTTGCAAAAATTCTTCAATGACGTAAAAAGGCCGCAAATCAATAATGCCCTTAGGCTTTTACAAGAAAAAAAACTAAATGATCATGGCACTCTACTTGAAAAATTAAAATTTAATTTAAAAATAAAATTTGGACAAAGCTTGATTTGAAAGTGATGCATTAGGATGTAAAACTATCTGTAGAATGATGTAGAATCTGAATAACAAAAAATATACGTACCTACAGGGTGTGCCATTTGAAAATCATTATTCCTGGTGGAACCGGAAGTCGGGAAAGCTAACTAGCGAGAATATTAACTACTAAGTTTTGTTGATATCTATAAACAAATAAAAAAATACGTATATAAAGTTAGCAGTGCAAAATTTTTATGATTGGAAAAATTAGTGCTAATTATTGTCTGGCTAGCGAAACGGCGAACTGCAATAGAATTTGCTGCTTTGCCAGACTTGACAGAAAGAATAATAAACAAATTGGTGACATATTTTTTTTTACAATATGGGCATGTGTAGCATTTTGAAATAGAAAAAAATTCGGCAACATTGCGAAATGAAGGATGTGGAGAGGCATGATTCTATTGGTTAGAGCCTAGGGGTATTTCACTGGCCACAATATATGTACAAATTTTGGTATAGTATTGCGGCAGTAATTTCTCAATAGCTCACAATGCCTTGCAATAGAATGCAATACCTTGCAGTAGTGCACAATACTTTGCAGTAGTCTACAATAATTCGCAATGTTCCACAATACTCTTGCAATTGTCTACAATACTCTCACAATAGCTAGCAATACTCTCACAATAGTCTACAATATGCTCGCAATAGCTGACAATATCATAACAATAATCTAAAATACTTTCGCAATAGCTTGCAATAGGATTGCAGTAGTTCTTCACTTTAATTTTTATACTCTTGTCGATAAAAATCTCGATAAAAATCCTTCAGATTATCTCTAAAATTGTTGTTTTAGTGTATGGTTTTTTTATATTCGATAAGTTATTTGGAATATTTTTGCAGTAGCATGCTATATATTTAATTTCTGCATTGGGACACGAATGCACATGGCATGTGCATTCAACTATCTCCTTAGTATCTCTATACCAAAAGCAATACATCAGTGTCTATCACTTGTTGGGTATAAATTTAAATACAGATTTTAATTTTTGTTGCACTTTATTATAAACTCAACTTCTTACAAGTGTAGGAAAATAGAACAACTGTGAAATATAAGGGCGGGATTGTCTTTTCCTCTGGGCCTTTATTCTTGAAACAGGGGAGCAGCTTTTCCAGGAGAATGAGTGTTCCGTTTTTGTTACTTATATTATCATTAGCATATCATTGAGAAAGACGGAACACGCATTTTCTTGGGAATGTTGCTTCCCTATTTCAAGAATGAGGACCCTATTGTATCGCTCCTTCCTACGGTCCCTCTTTTTGATCTCGTGTTTGCATCACTGTTCTTCAGATGTTAGGAATAGACAATATTCGAGATTATACAGTTAACTTTTTGACGGACATACTATCCCATAAACAATAATTAACTCTGAACTTGACGCCAATTTCAACAAAGATGAACTCAATTTAACTGACTCATCTGAGGCTATTCAGAAAGAAACTGATAATGACATGATGGGAGACAAAGAAGCAGAGGAGCTCAACTCTCTTAAAAATTATTATATGAACAGGGAAGCTTTCAATGTTAAAGATTACAATGCTTAGGTAACAGATATGAACAATGGAAGGTTTTTAAAAATACATTTAAAAAACAGAAAGTCAAAGACAGTAAGAAATTTAAATCTTATGTGGTTTTTTTGGTGTAAAAAACAGACAACCCTGATATTGACACAAGTGAAAATGAATTTGAAAATGAGTTTCATTACATAGGAGTAATAAATGATGAAGGAGGAAGACTAAATATTACTATTCAGTATATTATGTTATGATACTGAGTTTGCGATGTAAAAGTACTGCATACTGACACCACAAAAAGCAAAGTGAAGTTTCTAAAATTGAACGTATTCCAGTCTAGATGTTCTGAAGAAGATTAAATTGATGATTTCATCATTCTCATCCATTTGATTTAGATCATAATGATTTAAATAATATGAAAGAAAAATATAAAAGTTTGAAGAAATAGGGAATACCTATGTAGGTACTGCAATAATTTGCAATAGTTCACAATAATCACAATCTCGATCACAATGGTTTGCAATATATAGAATCATTGGTCAATAGGTTGCAATAGTCCACAATACTCTCACAATACTCTGCAATACCTAAGTATTGCACAATATATGTACAAAAAGAACTTCAGTGAAATACCCCTCGGTTAGAGCCTGAACGACAGCACCAGTGGCGTGGTTATTGGTGAAACTCAAGAATTTTTTTCCTTATAATTTTTTGGTTTATTTCCTTTGTGTTTTCGGTGCCACTGAACCCAAAGAGATGGTTGTCATCAGGCGGTGTCAGTTGAGGTGTCAGTGAATATTCTTAGGTTACGCCCCACTTTTCTTCCCCCTTTCGTCTCTACCAAGTTACTACTTGCCAGACTATACATGCCAAGTTCACAAATTTTGTGCTCTTGTAGTTTCCGAGATATGGTCTGCACTGCTAGCTACCTGTTAAAGATAGGAGTGCACCATCCAGGAATGATCCAGGAAAGTGGTAGGTTGATATAAATGATAAAGAAAATTAAATGCTAATTAAATGCTACCACTTCCATGAACAAAATCTCTATTTTCAGCTTTTTTTTGAATATTTTCTAAAAGCAACGCTGTGCACTGCTACCTTTATGCAGTACACATATTGAGTTTTCATGGCAGAAGGGATTGGTAGAGTTTTTGACATAGGAATAATTTAGTGCTAATTAAGTGCTAATTAAATGCCAAGTTCACAAATTTTGTGCTCTTGTAGTTTCTGAGATTTGGCCTGCACTGCTAGCTACCCGTTAAAGATAGTAGTGCACCATCTAGGAATGATCCAGGAAAGTGGTAGCGTGATATAAATTATGAAAAAAATTAAATGCTACCATTTCCATTAAAAAATCTCTATTTTCAGTTTTTTTTTGCACATTTTTTAAAAACAACGCGGTGCACTGCTAGCTTTATGCAGTACACATATTAAGTTTTCATGAAAGAAGGGATTCGCAGAGTTTTCGACATAGGAATAATTTAGTGCTAATTAAGTGCTAATTAAATGCCAAGTTCACAAATTTTGTGCTCTCGTAGTTTCTGAGATTTGGCCTGCACTGCTAGCTCATGTTAAAGATAGCAGTGCACCATCTAGGAATGATCCAGGAAAGTGGTAGCGTGATATAAATGATGAATAAAATTTAATGCTAACATTTCCATTAACAAAATCTCTATTTTCAGCTTTTTTTTCGAATATTTTCTAAAAGCAACGCTGTGCACTGCTAGCTTTATGCCTCGCTTTATGCAGTACACATATTGAGTTTTCATGGAAGAAGGGATTGGTAGAGTTTTCGACATTTGAATAATTTAACGCTAATTAAGTGCTAATTAAATGCCAAGTTCACAAATTTTGTGCTCTTGTAGTTTCCGAGATATCGCCTGCACTGCTAGCTACCTGTTAAAGATAGCAGTGCACCATCCAGGAATGATGCAGGAAAGTGGTAGGGTGATATAAATTATGAAAAAATTTTAATGCTAACATTTCCATTAACAAAATCTCTATTTTCAGATTTTTTTCGGATATTTTTTAAAAACAATGTTGTGCACTGCTAGCTTTATGCAGTAGGCATAATATTGAGTTTTCATGAAAGAAGGGATTGGTAGAGTTTTCGACATAGGAATAATTTAGTGTTAATTAAGTGCTAATTGAATGCCAAGTTCACAAATTTTTTGCTCTTGTAGTTTCCGAGATATGGCCTGCACTGCTAACTACCTGTTTAAGATAGCAGTGCACCATCTAGGAATGATCCAGGAAAGTGGTAGGGTGATATAAATGATGAAGAAAATTAAATGCTAATTAAATGCTACCTACCATTTCCATGAACAAAATTTCTATTTTCAGCTTTTTTCGCATATTTTTTGAAAAACAACGTGGTGCACTGCTATCTTTAACAGGTAGCTAGCAGTGCATGCCACATCTCGGAAACTACAAGAGCACAAAATTTAGTAACCTGGCATTTGATTAGCACTAACTAATTCCTATTTCGAAAATTCTATCAATCCCTTCTTTCATGAAAACTCAATATGTGTACTGCATAAAGCTAGCAGTGCACCACGTTGTTTTTAAAAAAATATGCGAAAAAAAGCTGAAAATAGAAATTTTTTCAATGAAAATGGTAGGTAGCATTTAATTAGCATTCAATTTTTTTCATCATTTATATCACCCTACCACTTTCCTGGATTATTCCTGGATGGTGCACTGCTATTTTAAACAGGTAGCTGGCAGTGCATGCCACATCTCGGAAACTACGAGAGCACAAAATTTGGAAACTTGGCATTTAATTAGCACTTATAATCAGCACTAACTTATTCCTATGTTGAAAACTCTATCAATCCCTTCTTTCATGAAAACTAAATATGTGTACTGCATAAAACTAGCAGTGCACAGCTTTGTTTTTAAAAAAAAAATCGAAAAAAAGCTGAAAATAGAGATTTTGTTTATGGAAATGGTAGCATTAAATTTTTTTCATAATTTATATCACCCTACCACTTTCCTGCATCATTCCTGGATGGTGCATTGCTATCTTTAACAGGTAGCTAGCAGTGCAGGCGATATCTCGAAAACTACAACAGCACAAAATTTGTGAACTTGGCATTTAATTAGCACTTAATTAGCGCTAAATTATTCAAATGTCGAAAACTCTACCAATCCCTTCTTCCATGAAAACTCAATATGTGTACTGCATAAAGCTAGCAGTGCGCAGTGTTGCTTTTAGAAAATATTCGAAAAAAAGCTGAAAATAGAGATTTTGTTCATGGAAGTGGTAGCATTTAATTAGCATTTAATTTTCTTTATCATTTATATCAACCTACCACTTTCCTGGATCATTCCTGGATGGTGCACTCCTATCTTTAACAGGTAGCTAGCAGTGCAGGCCATATCTCGGAAACTACAAGAGCACAAAATTTGTGAACTTGGCATTTAATTAGCACTTAATAAGCACTTATTTTTCCAGTCATAAAAATTTTGCACTGCTGACTTTGCACTGCTAACTTTATATACGTTAAAAAAATGGTACCCGGAAAGTGATCTTGTGGGAACCCAGAATAATTAATTTCCGAATCTTATTTGAAAAGTTCAGCACGTGCTGGTCCCATTTTAAATACCAAAACAGTTATTTCCAAATTCTTAGTCTGAGCTACTTCACAATCACAAATACACTCCTCCAAATTATCAACCTCAGTATCTGCAATTAAAGTTTGGCCTATTAATTAAAAAAAAAGAACTACATTTGGAGCTGTAGATCAGTATTTAAAAAGTAGGTATAGGTGACGGAACAAAGTTATAATGAGAACATCAAATTTTAAGCCATGTAGTCGAGCATGTAGTACCTATTACCGAACCTATTACTTTAAGGAGAAATTCACCCCATTAGGCTTTTGCAAATTTTCCAATAATGCTCCTCCCAACCCAGTCCTAATCGAATAAACGGTCTTAATTCTTGTGATTAAGATAGATATTAAGAAAACCCATATTGCATAAGGGATATCTGCGCAGTTGTATAATAATTTTGTTATACCTACTGTGATATTTTGGTTTTATTTCATATATTACTGGTTCTCATTATGATTTTTGAATCAAGATAATTATTATACATATAATAGTAATATGAAATTTATTTTAGTTTACCGTATGCAGCTAGAAGCACCAGTTCCAATACCGATACTATGTGATGACATCTTGCCCAACAGGCCTGCATTTTTAGGTCAAGATTATCATGGAGCTATATCCCATGTACAGGCCTCGAAACTTCTTAATTCACATGAAAATGGAGCCTATTTAGTGCGAAGCAGTAGATCTGCCAATGGGGAATTTTATACTTTAAGTCTGAAGTGAGTAATTTGTCCAGCTATAACAAATTATATTTCAAAATCTAATTATTTGTAGATTTAATGGCAAAATTCATCATTATAAACTATACTTTGATCCTGATGGTGGTTTATTTGTGAGGGAAAAACGTTACGATTGTGCTAGGTCTTTAGTTGCTGATGGCCTAGTAACTATGTATATAGAATTGAAGGCTCCTTTAATATTACAAAGACTGACTAGTGTTAATTATCATGAGAGTCCTTACATGACTTTGACCCTAAACAAACGGAAATTGAGAGCCTTGTCGAAACAAAATGCTTTGTAAGTAAACATTTTAAATATACCTACTTATAATGTTCAAAAAAATTATTTTCAGGAATAAAAATTTGTTTGCAAATTCGAATAGCGTGGATAATATACCATTATCTCAACAAATCTTAGGGCAAACATTACCGGAAAAAGTTGAAAAACCTCATGTTTTTAAACTCACAACATTCAAAGGTCTAAATTGGTGCGAACTTTGTGCTAATTTTCTTTGGGGTTTTACGTTACAAGGTCAGAAGTGTGAAGACTGTGGAGTAATTGCTCACAGTGAGTTTTTAACCACATTTTCAAAAAACAAAATTAAGCTTATTTAATATTTTAGTTAAATGTTCAGAGAAATTTGCAAATGATTGTATCCCAGACCTGAAATTCCTAAGAGGCGTATTTGGAATTGAACTTACTACTTTATTAAGTGCTTATAAAGCTGAATTACCGTTTGTAGTGACGAAATGTGTTGCTGAAGTTGAAGCTAGAGGTCTAACAACTGAAGGCATCTACAGACTGAGCGGTTTTGCTGATGAAATTGATGCAATTAAAATGGCACTTGATAGAGACGGTGAAAGAGCTGATCTTTCAATGGAAAAATATCCAAATATTAATGTAATTACTGGAGCTTTAAAGCTTTATTTGAGAATATTGCCTGTGCCTCTTGTTACTTTTGAGGTGCATCCTAGACTGATTGATTCAATACGTAAGGATTCAAATTTTGAAACTTGGTTCAAAGAAAATATTAACTTTTTTTTTCTAGAACATAATGATGTGGATTTGCAAGTGTCTTCAATTAAACATGCCTTGTTATTGTTACCAAAACCACATTATGATACTTTGAAGTTCATGATTCAGCATTTAAACAGGTAAGAATGAATATTTTCTAAGATATTTTCCTAAAATTAAATTTCTGTGTAGAAATTCATCTAATCAAAGTCAATCCAATTATACAGTGGGTCGGTTGAACTAGTAAAAATACATCAAATACATACATAGATTGCAATATTTCCTTTTTTAAATCTATTTAAACTTATGTTAGAATCACTCACTTCCATTGCATCACTTACTCAGAATAACTTCTCCAGCCTGCGACACTGGATTATTCCCTTGTGCTACATAGTCCGAGGGCTTTTATTGAAATGAGCCGCTTCCAAGGAGAAATCCTGACTGAATCTCTTGCTGAGGAATTATCAACACTCATACTTTCAAGAGCGGTCTTTGCTCGTTCTATCCTCAGAGTAGTTCTATCCATCCAACGCAGCTCACTTTACTGTACAGTGCATTTATACGACTGGGACAATAAACCACAATTTGAATACATAAAAACCGTTTTTGTATCGCCTCTATAATCTCTGAAATATGTTGAATGGACAACTTCCCTCGCTAACTACAACCTTTTCAAAAAAAGGGTTAATCAACATTCACCGTGCATTTATGATTCAATCGGTTTATCCTTTGAGTGTCCTACCTCAAAACCCCAGAAACATTTTTAACCACCTACTTACTGGTAATTGACCTTTTTTTTTAAATTATGTATTTTTCCCTAGGATCGCTCTTCATTCGCCCATAAACAAAATGAATGGCCTTAACTTAGCTACTGTGTTTGCTCCAACCCTAATTCATCACCCCACAAATATTATACCAGATGTTAGGAGCGATATACTTCTTTTGGAAATGATGATCAACAAGTGTCATGATGTTTTTCTTAAATAACTTTTATTTTAATAATAAGAAATGGGCTCTCTTTTTTCATGCTGAAACATAGTAGATATTAATTTTCAAAAATGTTTATTTTGTATTTTGACGCTTGGGGTTTATAAGACGCATAAGAAACTTTTGTATCAATATCAGTGGGCTACAAAGCTCATTCCACTGCCTCGCTAGTGAATTTTAAAAGCTTGTTTTTGCTCGTTTTTAATGTGATTATCTTTACTAGCAACTTTTGTGATTTTTTTTTTGAAAATATGGCAATAATAAGGTATCATCTAACCAAGGGAAAAACCACTTGACAGTAAAGTAAGTAGCAGAGAAAGTAAGGTTATTTTGTTTATTTCTCGAGAAGTATCCCTTCCCAAGCATCCCTTTCGATTTGCACTTTGGAAAGGGATGCGTTTTAGATATTTGAATTTTAAAACAAGCAAAAACCTCTAAGATATTTCTAATTTGTAAAACTAATACACTGTTTGTGATATCCAAAAGCAAGTTGGTGAATTTTGGTAAAATCTGGGGAAGTTTGGGAACATACCTGTGAAACAAGAGGAAATATCTATCAAATAATAGTGAAATTGTAGTTTCTATCTGAAATTTTAGAGGGGGGGTTTTTCTCTGCTATCCAACCTGACTAAATGTAGGTAATGATTTCCTTCAGCAGGAAAAGTTGATCTTTCCAAATTCATAGATAACTATGAACCAGATATTTGGTACTGCCCACAGTAGGTGTAAGTGATTATAATGGTTTAACCAATTTTTATTTATTATTAGGAAACCGCTTGAAACTTATTTTTTCTGTGCAATTTTTGTTATTTTATTTTTAGCCTGATCTTATCACAAATGTTTATTAGAATATAGTATATTTCAAGCATGAAATGCTGTCTTAAACCAGACCATTTTAAATGGTCTTTTTCTACTATATTCATTTATTTATTTTTCTGAAATGAATGTTTCATTGTTTATTTGAACAAAACTGATAATGTGTTCCAAAGTGAGATTTGTGATTCCTTTGAATTATTGTGATATTATGTGTTTGAAAATTGGTTCCATTGTTTGTATTTATTTCTTATTTTCACCTTCAAAAAGAACTAGTTTCTCATTTATTCGTGCATTTATATGTATTATTATTCTGTTATATTTATTGATATTATGCTTGATTGTGACACCCATGTTATACATATTTACATTCCCCTTTTATCTATTTAACATACATTCGCTTTCTTTTTTTTCAAATCGGTGGCAATAAAAATCTAGGGAAAGTTGTGATGTATGTGTAAATAAAAAATTCCCAATCCCTTAAAGATTCCCTATGTATCCTATCCAAATCCTATAAGTTGTTTTTTTTTTTATCTGAAGTCTCTGCATTATAGTTTCAAAGCGTTCGAATTTTAGAGATGGTACGAGCATTTTTGGATTTGCTGTTTTTTTTTTTTGCAAAATTTGGTACCTATTTATTCTGTTAATGCATCCTTTCAATATTTAGCTGAAAAGTTTGTTCTGTTGTCATTTTGAAAAACAATGCTCCCATACCATTTTTGGTGTTCCATGACCCCCTATTCCAAAAAAAAGAAAGTGAATGGAATGCGAACATTATATTCATTATTTATTTTCATTTTTTTCATGCTTACTTAATATATAATTTGTGTAACCCTAATGTAATCTAGCTTCTTAAGTGTTCGTTTAGCGTTTAGCTTTATACTTTTATAAATCAATATTATCAAAAAAATTGTATGTTTTTATGCAGTATTTTTTTGTTTAATTCATACCTATACCTATATTTAGTATTTATACTCCTTAAGGACAATTCGTCATTCCTGAAATCTGAAGAAGTGGTGACAAAAATTTATTTATGGGCACGGCACCTGTTGCTATAAATTCGCCCACGATCCCTTTCTGTATATGGGTGTTCAATAATTCTTATGGTCATAGTTGGCTGAGGTTTTTTTTTTTCTATCATGATTGTAGGTCTGTTGATAAGTTCGTATGGTTTGATGGCAACTCTCACCAAATGTGATCCTATTTCTTGGATTTACTAATTTTCAATAAAAACTTAGTGAAATAGACAAAAAAACGTTGCAAATCGTGATAAGAATTTACTTACCAAGCGTTATCTCAGAGGAACCTGTAGATTTTTGGGTGAGGATTGCTATCGATCACTCGGTTTTGTTTGTTACTCGATGGCAAAGCTTATCTGAAACGTTGACAGATAGTGGAAAATATCACCTAATTTTCGAGATGTCGCCACAAGAAAAAGTTACATAAAGTTAAATCGCATAATCTGGGAGGATAAGAATGTCTGTATTTCTGGTTATGACCCGGAAATCTGGTCATCATAATATTCGTGAAGCAGATCCAAAGTCTCTTATGTGCGATGAGATGTTGCTCTATCTTGCTGAAAGTAGTCTCGCCGAAGTTCATCATCATGGAACTCGTCGCAAAATGGTTGCAGTATATTTTCCCGATAATGCGGTGCATTGACATTTCATTAAAAATTTCCAGATTTTGTTGACCAAAAAAAAAATATATTTTTTTTTTGGTGGCGTTCTACCCATCTTTGGAAGTCCCTGCTTCCTACTTCATTTTTGTTATTATCTATGCATGTCATAAAAATTCGATTATTGTTTGTAATAATCCCTATTTACCAACCAGATCTCGATTTGCTCTATAAGTTTAGCATTGGCTGGATCCATTTATCTATTTTTGGCTAAGCTTCTAGTTTCAGCCTCAAAGTCCAGATAATACTTTTACAAGTCAACCCTAGATTCATTCCTTATTCTTGCCGTATATTTGTGAAATCTAAATTATTGTTTTGGAGATGTACTTGGAGATGTACTTGCAGCATTTATATTTAATCCTTTATTTAATGCCTAACTCCCACTATCACAGGATAAGAATAGTTATAAAAGCCAATGAAAAAATTGGCCTTATAATTAGTTGAGGTATCTTCCGGTTTTTCCTGTGTAGAACAATACTAAAAATGTTGGCATAAATTAGTTTTCAGCCTAATTATTACCTGACATGCCGCACTTAACTTTTTAATGAAGTAACTTATTTTTCCTTATAATTTTTAAATCGACTTTTAATCTACTCCAACCTGATACTTGCAACATTTCTGTGAATAATAATTTATTCAAAATTAGAGTGGCATCTAAAAATGCGACGAAAAAATACTTTGTCGACAGATCCTAATTGAATAATACTTTTGTTAAATGGCAATTATGGTAAATGTTCCTTGACAAAGAAAGACTTGGTTGTTTGTTGATTCAGTATGTTAAGCGGTTATCCTACTCTAAAAAGACTGAATTACATTGACTTTGGTGCAACTAAAATTAACAAAATGGGTAAAATTTTAGTAATATTCGTTATAATGGTAAGTAGAACATGGAAACATTGAATTTTTTTAACAATATTATTTGTCTATTACCTTCCATTAGGTTCATATAGTCTATGGATTCATAGGTAAGCAATAATTAACCTCATGGATTGCATGTATCGAATCGTTATAGCACCAAATTTTTTTTGTAGAGCTTTACGAAGCTGAACATGCCCAACAACAACTTGCAGAAGAAATCAGCGACATTGCTGGAATAACCAAAGCCAAAGAATTGATTGACAAAATGAAGGACGGTGTAGGAGGTTCAACTATTGCAATTCATTATCCAAGTGGTAAGTAATAAGTAGTGATATTATAGTAAGTGGGTGACGTAGGTGTAGGCTCTCCTATTTCTTGTTTGTGATAGTTGATAGTAGGCCCTAATAAATTTCAATTCACTTTTCAAAATTATTAGAGGCAAAATTCTAAGATTAAAGCAAGAGTTCAAAGAAAAGAACAAATTTCAATAATTTTTCAACAATGGCTAATTCTACAATAATTTAACTAACTTTGCACCCTTGATAAAGGAAACAATAAAATTTCCGAAAGCTTGGCGTTTGTGAAAAACTAGTTTTATTTATGCCAAGACTGCATCCCAAGAATCATCTCACTTATTACCTAAACAAACCAGTCATGAATTTTTACATCTACCTATCTATATGTACTATTTACCGAATCTCTTCAATGTTGCGTTTTATTTTGTCCTGGAGATTTTTTTTTTAAATTCACATGACTCCTGTGAATTGTGACGAGAATTGACCTATCGGAATTTTACAAGTGCTGTGGAATAGAACCCATTCTCTATTCCGTTATTGTTTACGTTTTCTTACTGCTCATGAGATTATTTTTAATAGGTATACCTAATCTACTACCTACCTAATCTGTCTAATATACCTAAATAACTAATTGAAACACGTTCTTTTTCAGGTCGACAATTCATTCACCGCAACAGATGGATCATGATGTGTAACGGCTTAATATCCCGAGAAAATGGCCATTGCAACGGCAACGCTTTAGAATCAGTAACGGCTTTCAAACCCGAATCAACTTCCGATTATTGCTACATCAAAAGCTACCACTCAATGAACGAGACTCTTTGCCTATCACCGCATCCTGTTGACGTGTCATTTGAGAATAACACCATTAAATGTGAAGGGCAAAGTGATTTTTTTCCAGCTCTTGCTATTTCTATTGACGATTATCTAAAAGCGTGTGAGAAAATTTCCAGTAACGTAACATATATTTATTTTGCTAATGATCATGATCCCGATCATGTAGAAATTCCAAATGAAAATCCACATGTCAAATGCGATAACGAAGTCGATAATAATGATTTTAATAAAACTTTGTCTCCCAGAAGTCAAAAACTGATGAGAGATTATAGTTTTGCCATTAATAAAACTGGGGTTTGTGTATTTTCTGAACAGGACAAATTGATTTTGAAACTTTTGCAATATTTAAAACTGTAAGAAAGATTAAAATATTATGTATTTTTTTGATTATATAAGCTGAAACAAGTAGAATAAATGAATACTTATAGAATAATATTGAGTTTTCTAACATCTTTTAAAGAACCAGACCTATCGAAGCTTTTGACTATTATCTGCCGTTTGAAAAAGCTAATGCACCATGCCTAGAGCTTAGACTGATTTTTTTTTTGTCTGTATAGACCTTAGCAACAATGTGAACTAGCTGTACTTACCCACATTCAAAACGACGAAAAAATAGTAGGTAATGGAATATTTTAGTGAACTGTAAAGCCAGGAGGTTAATGTTTTTTGTCACCCGAAAAGAGCTATTGGGAGTAGTAAGATTCATTAAACTACACCAAAGGTTTCTCTATGGACGGAAGTTCATGGGCGCCGGCAGGGGAGGGGGCAAATCGGGCATTTGCCCCCCCTGGATTCAGAAAGTTTAATAATTATACAGCAAAATCAAAATATATTTATTTATTATAAAATAGTACGACGAGCGAAATTTGATCGTGGCGCCATCTAAGACTAGGATTCAACACTAAATAGCACTTTTGCTGTATTAAGTGATGACCATCTAATAGGCCGACCAAAAATCAGATAGTTGGGAAAACCCAGAATAGGGAAAACAAGTTTTCTCCTATTATCCACTGATGAGAAAATTTTTGGATTAATTTTCTCTGCTATTCCATCCACAGACGCGTTTCGACCTATTCTCACTCGTCAGTATGGCTAGGCTAGGAAGGCAAAGAAAACCAATCCAAGTTTAGTGCCTGTAGGCAAAATAGAAGTAGTACGACGAGCGAAATTTGATCGTGGCGCCATCTAAGACTAGGATTCAACACTAAATAGCACTTTTGCTGTATTTAGTGATGACCATCTAATAGGCCGACCAAAAATCAGATAGTTGGGAAAACCCAGAATAGGGAAAACAAGTTACTTGGATTCAAGTTACTTGGATTGGTTTTCTTTGCTTTCCTAGCCATACTGACGAGACCTGATAGGTCGAAACGCGTCTGTGGATGGAATAGCAGAGAAAATTAATCCAAAAATTTTCTCAATTTTTTTTTTAATAAAATATAGAACACGAAAACATATGTCGATAGAAATCCAGAAAAGAGCATACATTTCATACATACATAAAAATGACCTTCACATTTGCGAAAATTTACACTGGTGGCGCATGGACGGGGACAGGAACCCCCCCGTGCCTTGCCCCCCCACTGTCCCGCTGGCTAGCGGCGCCCATGCGGAAGTTCCTAGATTTAATTGCTGATAGATTTCAAAAACTCAGAAGTCGTGTTTTGGCTAGAGAAATTACAATGTACGAGTGGGTAAGAATCGCTGTAGATATTGCATGTCTTTTTTCTACAACACGGACAGTATTCGTTCGATATGCCAAGAAGTAGTTCCAATCCCCATTAAGAAGCTGTTACTGTTGTAGCATTACTGGTAAACATCATAGCCAGAAAGAATTTTCGGTCAGAGTACGGAAACAACTGATGAGATTACTGAGAAAAATGAAAACGCTTTCAACTACGCTTCATCCAGAGTCTAACAAAATGGTCGAGAGGCACAATCAGACCATCAATCAATTCCTTCGGATTGTGCATGGATGGTATAATAATATACTGAAGCATCTGTAGCAAAACGCGCCCAAGGGCCAAAGTACTCTTTTTAATTAGTTAGATGGTAAATGGCGAACAGTATATTGATGTGTTTATTTCCTTGGGCGGCTACCAATAAAATTGTGGAAGGGGTCTATTCGCAAATGAGAGAAACAAACTATTAAGGTTTACCAAATTATACTTTATTATACTAAAAACAAAAAATAAAATAAAGCAAATATTTTTCTAAGTCTGAAAGCCGCTTCTAATTTTTCCCAAATCTACGAAAGCGTAGAGCTGCCATGCTAATATTAAAAAATATTTTTATAAAAATTTACAGTTTTTCTGTAAATTTACACTTTTTCTGTAAATTTACACTTTTTCTGTAAATTTACACTTTTTCTGTAAATTTACACTTTTTCTGTAAATTTACACTTTTTCTGTAAATTTACACTTTTTCTGTAAATTTACACTTTTTCTGTAAATTCAGTTAATAGTAAGGGTTAGTTTGGGTTAGCTCGCAATTTTAATCAGAGATCACCAAACTTACCGATAATAACCCGGTGAGTTTGCAGTTTTAACATTAATAAACTTTCAACGATAATAACCCGGTTAGTTTGGCATAGTTTGCGATTTTAATCAAACATTACCATTATGTTTTCCAAATTATTGATTTTCGAATTATTAATTTTCGAAAAATATATTTTCAAAATTATTGAATTTTGAAAGAAATAAATTCGAAATAAGCGTTTTCGAAAAGGTTTATTTTCGAAATAACAGCATTCGGCAAAAAATCGAAATTTGTATTCTCGAAAATTGAACATGCATACAGGACTGATAAAAATTGCAAACTTATCCGAACTAATCAGATTATTGTTATTGTTGTTGGTAATGTCAGACTCTAAATTGCAAAATAACCCAAACTAATCAGGTTATTATCGGTAAGTTTGGAAATGTTTAATTAAAATTGCAAAGTTACCAAAACTTACCGGGTTATTATCGGTAAATTTGGTAATGCCTTCTTAAAACTGCCAACTAACACAAACTACCCAGGTTATGATTGGTAAGTTTGGTAATGCATTTTTAAAACTGTAAACTAATGGGGTTATTATCCGCGAGTTGTCAGTAACCCAAACCAACCCAAACTAACCAGGTTGTTATTGGTAAGATTGGATATATGCCTGATTAAAATTACAAACTAACTTAAACTAACCGGGTTATTATCGGTAAGTCTGTAATGTCCGTCGTTTGACAATTGTTAGTATTTTAGGAGTTATCGCAGAATTTAAATTTAGAAAAATGTTAACAACGTGACAACATTGTACAGGTATTATCTCTGCGAGGATGTAAATGTAAATAAAACTGGTAAATTTGAGAAGAGTTTTTTTTTTTTGCCCGGAGTTTATTTATTTCCATCTGTTTACGTTTTGGTTTGTTATAAGGCTTTCAAATAATGTAAATTATAACTTGCATTTCTATCACTTTTCTAGTAAAAATAAAAAATGTGTTGTTTTATCAAGTTGTGAATTGACCTTTTCAATTTAAAAGCCTCTCTCTCTGGCATCAAACTGTCAGATGCCAAAAGAGTATGAAAACAATGGTTGACAGCCGTTGACAGTGGTTTGTAGACAAGACTTTTGAAAAAAACTATTATTTCCTCGGTTTTTTCAAGGTTTTTTCCTAACAGTGGTGATTCTGTGTAGTGTGCCTTTTCATTAAAATACATCCTATTCACCGGCGGATGCGTCTTTCCATAAGTTTCTATCAAATTCTACATTTGTCAAAATTTGGATACACAAAATCAGAAAGGATACTCGCAAAAGAAAGAGAAATCTACGCACCATCAAGTATACAAAGTAATCCACGTTCAAGTTTAGTTTGCAGAAGCTGTTTGCTTCCAAAATATTCCATTACCGTCTTCATAGCGAAGTTCTGCGAATGAAGCAGTGACTTTTCCCACATTTTCTTCTCAATTTCAAATCCTGCGCAAATGTTACCGATGGATCCACCATTTTATGTCGGTCATTGTCATTTTCCTTTCACTTAATAAAGGTAGCTTACTCATTGGTGAAGTCACCGATTCGAATAAAAACGAGGGAATTGCTAGACACCCAATACACATTGACATTGACAAGCATGCAAATGTTGGCGGGAAAACGAATGTTTTCATACTTATCGTCTATCTCTTTTAATTGAAAACGTCAATTGCACTCAATGACATTTTTGCACTCAACATTCAAGCGAAAAATCGAATAATACTTACTCAGCTACTTGCCAAATCCTTATAATGGAAATATTAATTTTTTCTACTGACGTTTCATAATAATAACTTTTCGATTGTCATTTTAGTTTCAAAATGACATTCTTTTAAGCACTGAGTTCGTGAAAGTTACATTTAAGCACTCAGTGCGTAAAAGTGACTTTTGAATGCGTAAAAGTGACTTTTAGGTGCATAAAAGTGATTTTTAAGCACTAGTGCCTAAAAGTGTCATTCATTTTATTCAGAAATAAAAAACACACTAAACACAGATTTGAATTTTGTTCTGTATTTATTATGAATATTGAAAATTAAATTATTGAAATGAACGTTTAGGTTACTCAAAACAGAACTTTTTGTAGTTACCTACTTTTTAGGATTTTAATTATTAATGTCGAATCTTGAAAAAAAATCGCATGAAAAGTTTCAGGTGTCAAGCAAAAGCACGTAACAAAGATTTTGGGCGTAATCGACTTATTCACATGAAATAATATTGTGTTTTTTTATTATAAAATGCCAGTAGAAAAAATCTTGATTACAATACGTTACGAAACGATGTCTTTTAGTCACTCGACGTGTTGTCCAACTCGGCTTTGCCTCGTTGGACAATTTTCACGTCGCGTGCCTAAAAGACGCTCATTTCGTAACTTATTGTATAAATAGCTATTTGTTGACAGGTTCTCGAAACACTAAAATCAACACGCAGATTTTGCACACTCACACTTGAGGTATTTGTAAAACGGGCACAATGTGACAATGTTTTTTCATCAGATGGGTGCTTTTCTTTAGGCAAATCTTTCCCTGTAAATTCTGGCAGCTAAATGAGCATTTTTCAACGATTCTGCCTAAACAAGTATCTGCATAAATATTCGACATTTGTAAACATTTTATTTTCAAAAAAGAATGAATTTGAAATACGCGCGTTTCTCAACTAGAAAAGACAAATCAACAATCAAATTATTCCAGTTCAACCCAGGTTCAACGTTTAACCACCCATTCTTTATTGTGCTATGTTGCCAGATGTTTAGATACCAATTAACAAGTGACATTTTTATGTTGTTTTTTCAATTTTCTGTTATTGTTGTTGACTAAAAATGCATAATTACTTAATGATTGAATAAACTAAATTTTTCTTCAAACGTCAAAAAACCTGAAATTTATCATGATGTTAAAGTTTAACTTTTATGTCAGTTGACGATCACCATAGACAACGTAGAGGTGGAGAACTATCGATAGTCACGACCATCGATAGTCGGGACCTTGACTATCGATATTTATCGATAGTTTTCGATAGTAATTAAATACAAGTTATAAGGTAAAAGGAAAGATATATGTGTACTAAATATCTTTGTTTCTAGGAAATAGCTAAATATTGAACTTTAACATCAACATTTGCAGTGGAATTCTGTAAGGAATAGAGATATTTTCGCATGATTTTCGCTATTTCTATTGAAGTACCTACGTCCCCCCTCTATTAATTTCGAAAAGAGAGGAGAAGACAGCAAGTGCCATAGTGATAGGGATAACGATCTCTATCCGTTACAGAGTTCCGCCTCTGATATCTCATTTGCAGATTTTTTTTCTAAAATTAAAAATATGTATCTTATTCCAAAATCCTAGAATTTTTGTACAAGATCATTATCATTATCATTTCAACAATTCAACACTTTTGGCTTTCAGCACAAAACGCTTTCAGACAAGATCATTTGTAAGGTCAAAAATAATGGCACCACGCACCAGCAGTACTGAAAAATCCTGCTTTCAGACCTTTCAGATTACTTTTTATAATTGTCAGAAAATTTTCCATTGTCCTTGAACAATAAAGCAAGGAAATCAAAAAAGGTTTCCAAACCAGTTAAAACTGTTCTGTTTTGCATTTTTGAAATTCAGTTTTGTGCACGAACCTAACTTTCGCTTACTAACGGGCGTTACAGCCAACTATCGATAGTTAAAAAAAATTATCGATGTATTTCGATAGTCAATACTATCGATAGTTATCGATAGCGCCATCGATAGTTCTCCACCTCTAAGACAACGGAAGTAAAAGACTTTTACCTCCTCTCGTGAGCGGAAGTAAAAGTCTTCTACCTCCGCTCGCGAATATCTGTCATAACAACGCAAAGATTGAAATTTTGTCACCTAGTTGGTGGATTGTTCGGTAACATCATTATTATTTGAGAAAATTTCGATTTTTTCTATTATTCAGGCAGGTTTGAAGAAAAAATCGTGTTCTATTCGGAGTAAAAGCTACTTTTGTGACTCGTCTGTATTGCCGGCCTCACTGCGTTTGGCCGGGGTTTAATGGTTCAAATCTTTTACCAAGGATCCATTTAACCAGAACAATACTATTCTCGAATTCCTAGTCAACATATACAATTATTTAAATTCTTATTAGTTAGCTACTAGAGCCCTTAAACTTCAACTAATTATTAGACAATTAAATTCAAAATCTTCAATAAATTCATACTCAAAATTGGTAAGCGTTAAGTGCATTATAATTTCCCCTTTTAAACTCTTTGCAAAATTAATTAAAATGTCATTTTACTCGAGAGTACCTACATTTCGTCCTTAAAACACTAAACTAATTTAAAATAATTAATTATTCTGATTATTTAGGGCTCGCACATAATGTTGAACAAATTTAAATGGTCTTTCTTTCATAAATTTTCGTTACTTTTTCAAAGTTAACGCGGTTTCCCGAGGTAACAAAATAAAAGAAACTCTTCGCGAATTTTATCTGGACTGACTTATTAGGTACTGTAGACTTTAAACTCAAAACTGAACTGTAGACTCAACTGGACTTGAACTTAAACTGATTCGAAAATTCCGAAACCGCGGTTTTTATATTTTTCGTTCCCCCCAAAATATTATTAATTACCCACCAAAATCGACAATATGGGCGGTGGTTTGACCATCTATAATTCAATTCTATTGGTCGACCTAGATATTACTCCTGTTAACGCAACTTTATTTATAAATTTGGTTTCTTCTCATTCTTATTAAAGGATTACTTAAATGTCAATTTCGCGTAAAACACACAGGAGTGTATTTTCTACGACCCTGCGCCGACCGAGACAGCCGTTGAAGATTTGAATTCACACGCTAGATAAATGGTGGTTCATATGCACGTTGCATTTTCACCGGTTCCGTGTTCTACGCTCAAAAAGTCTATGTCTTGTGCCGTTAAAAAGGGACCTTGAGTGCCTTAAGTCGACGGTGATACGTTGGTGGTTGTGGAGAACCGTTTTCCAGGGGATTCCCGTATATACGCACAGCTTATAAGAAAACCCAGGTGAGTGGTAATAACGTTTGTGTGTTTCGACAACCCTATGGTATCATTTTCATTTCTATTTCTATTTGTTTGCGCGATTTTCCAGTCGCAGTCCAGTTTACTAAATTTCAAATACTATTGCGTAAACAACTCCAAAAATATAACTTCCTCATTCAGATGATGATGCAATCTGTTCGAAATTTTTGTCATTTTGGGTTTAATTTAATTGTTTAAAATTTGGACGTACCTATATAAATATTTTAATTAATTTGGTTCAATGCTAATTTGTTTCATCATCTTTCAAGTTATTGATACTGATTTGAAATTCAATTTTTGATTTGATTACATTTAATTTTTACAGTTAAGACATTGTAAATTACTGGTCTATTTTCCCGGGTCAATACACATCTTTTCTTTTCGGCTCAAATAAACTCTCAGCATGAATCTGGAAGAGAAATAAAACTTTTTGTCTATTCAATATTTGGCAGACCTCCAGTGGTACCAGCTGCTGAAGATTAAGTTATGCTTCCAGTTTACATGGCTGATCTCCAGACTAGTTCATGACATCGACAGGGACAGATGACTTCTGACCAAAGACATAATGAAAATGAGACGCGACATACATTTTTAATGTGGTCTCGCTGTATCAGCGACAGGGGGGACAGACTAGTTCCCCAATCACAAAATTACAAAGACCATTGAAAAGGCCATATAGGATCGTTGAGGAGGTCAACGGCTTGGTGTACAGGATAAAACTCAACGACTTGGTATACAGGATTCAATTTATTCCGAGAACCATGCCAAAGTTGTAGACGTAAAATAGCTGGCCCCGTAGAGGGGCAAGAATGGATGAGATCTTGAAAGGGGCAACGTTATAAGTCTCTCAAGTTGGGAAAATTGTGAACACTCTTGCAACTCTACCTGATGAATTCTACCGCCCATTATTACAGCGAATTTAAAACGAATCTAAGCAAATTTTCGATACCGAGCAATAAAGGTAAACAATTTTCAAAAAGTAGTCTCCCCTATATCCAAGAACCCGCTTACATAATGATATGTAGCTATCGTATTGAGATTAATACAGATAGGATTCATAGGTGGGTATTTTCTTGTAATCCTAGGAAAATAGAAGCTACTTCTCTTCACCCGTTTCGATAATGTGTTCTCATAATTTTTGACGTAGGTATTAGGTAATTTTTGTCATGAAAAGAAACATTTGTCGATAAAAGTTTTTATTTAAAACTTAACAATAAATAATAATTATTACGTGAAGGTTGTAGGGATGTAGTCAATAAATATGCGGTATCGAATTAGGCTTAGTATCTTTCATAGTGATCGCTGCGAGAAGCGTGGATGGATCTTGATCGGGTTGCCCAACTTCTAGGTAGCCATTTAAAGAGTAGTTGAAAAGTTCGAAGTCAAATCTAAGAAGTTAATAATTAAGTACATTATTATTGTTTCATCAATTAATTAGTAAACTCAGTAAAGCGCCAACAACACTTGCTCAGCCATGAAATGAAATGGTCGGTGTAATGGATTAGAACACAGGTTATATTTCTACCACTCGTTGAAAACTCTTAGCCAGTGAATTATCATGTACGATTGTTTACAGTGTTCTATTTAAAGGTCTATAGAATTAAATAGGATTTGTCTCAAATTTAGTATCAACACATCCATATATTTGACCACTTCACATCCTGTAAACAAGACAATTCACCCAACTGAATACTACTGAACTGGAAAGGGTTTGATCGTAAACGAATATTTAGTAACAAAAATGTTTTATTTTTTGCGCATGCTTGATCCAGTGAATTTAAATGATCCTATCCACTGACTCTCCGACTGTACTATGGACTGTTGTGTATAGTCAACAAGAGGTAGGTACCGGTCTAAGGAGGTATAATATTTTTCATCCGAACTGAAACACTGAAAAAACATCAATATCAAACAACACAACTAAATAATACGTGGAATAAAACAGCAAATAATATATAAATTGGGATGACACTGGTTATAGATAACGCGTAGTCTAGTCAGCCAGGCACCCGCATCCTTTCCAGAGGACATAAGTAGCCCACCCCAATAATTCAACCTATAGGCGCTCGTGCTGACCTAAATTATTATTTTGGGCTACTGTAGCGATATTTTCTCGTTAGGTACTTATATTTTGTATAGGGAAACTTTACAATAGATTTTCTATGAAGTTATGAAGTGAAATATCCTCGTATAAGGCAGTGTTTCAAGTCAGAATAAAAATACTATACCTATTTTCCTATTTCAACTATTTTTTTGACAGCAGCACAACCGAAGGTCAATTTTAACCAGGTCAAATGATAGTATAAATATTTATTTAAATTTCTTACCTAAAAATATGATAGAGCTGTAAAATTAGCGATCTAGTAAGCTGAGAATAATGACTAGATATATGGGCTGTAGTAGATCCCTTGCCAGCGTTTTTCCACTCGGGTTTGATGACGTCTTGTAGTCCGGCACTTTTGATAATGAAGTCTTGGTCGTCTTCCAACGTTTCCGTGTGAGCAATTATCTTTTAAAAATCATCGAAGATTATTATTGGTCAGCTATTTAGATAAGAAATTATAGGTACTACCTTGATATTGAACATACAGGGTGTACAAAATTCCACTATAGGTGTCCAGTGCATGTCTAATGGCTTGCCACCTTTTACAGAGTCCACTAACCATTTGATAAATTCAGGATATGTTGGATATTTAGGACCGGCTGTTCCCTAAAATGAAAGTTCAACGTTTGGGAAGTTTTTGACTACTTTCAATTAGTTTATGCATGTTTTCAAATAATTTGAGACAAACGCGTGAGTAAAACTTTTAGTTTCTCTATTTGTACTGAGATATACTATAAATTGGTACGTAGGTAGGTACATTACATCAATAAATTTTCTACTATCCTTAACGATGTTTCCGCTACACTCTTTTCTGTTCTTGTTCTTGGTGCAAAATTTGAAAATTACACAATTTTAACAAATTTAGGTAACTTAGGTACATTGTGAAATATTATGCCCCAAAAATTAGATTTGATTAACTAAAATGTCTACAATCATTATTGTCAGATATGGCAATATTATAGAGTTGGATCCTTAAGACTGAATAGATAAGCGCTCTCGCTGAGCTTCCATGCTACCATTTTCTACAATAAGCATCTTATGTCATACATACCATTTACGAGCGTTGTCTCAAATGTTTTTCAAATTTAAGCTATACTCGAACACATAAAGATCTTCAAGCTTCACATACTTGACAAATTACCTACGTAAAATTGGTATAGTGGATTACCTAGAGTTCTACTCATTTTGCCAGGATTGTGCGAAATTTCAGGCATTAGGTGAACTTTACAGAATTTCGGAAATCTTTGGATTTGAAACGTGGAAAGTTTTTCCAGGCTTTTGTTTGTTAGACTAATTGAATTATTTTTAATTGTCCCACATACATCTTGAATACCAAGCACAAAAATTAAACTCCTTATACCTACCTTCTTTCTATAATTCTTTATAATATCTCTGCCTAATTTGAAATGGTACGACCCGGAAACCGCATACTGTATCTTATCCCTGTAAGCTGACAAAAGTCGTTCCAGCGGGTGTCTCACAATAAGAAACGAGACACTTTTTTCGTCTTCTAAAGCTTCCTGTAAAGATTCTAAAGTTGGACGGCCGTATTTTTGTCTGGCTAATGTTAAAGGCGGCGTTCGGCTTTTGCGAAGAAAATATGGAGAATAACTAAAAAACATATTGTTTCCTTTAAAAAAAAAATGTAGAAATGAATTCGATTGCTTACCCAGCTAAGATATTAAAATTATACATCCAAGAAGTACTAGCAGCTTTAAAGACATTACACCAAACAAGACGGTGCTTCTGGTCTACCAAATACTCCCAAGAATTAGGCCTGTGTAAACTGTCGTTGCCGTTTTTGTCTAGGCCGAGAATATGACAAGCTTTTCTCAAGTGTCTTCTTCGTTGGTCGAGTCTTTTGTATACCATGGAAAAATTGTGGTTGTTTGGATTGGAGTGTAGATCATTATCATCTCTAAAACTCTACAGACGAGGAAAATTTACACAATAATTATGGGGCTTTTTGCCTAATGTCACTTTAATAATATACTCTAGATAATTTTCAAGAAGCAGTGCCCAGCTAGTGCTGTTTAATTAGCTACCACGATTTTGGTTAAATGGTTTAATAAAGCAATACAAAAAAAAATCAAAGTCTTTCAAAAACAATTTCAAGCCTAGTCGATAATAAGTGCTGCTGAAGTGCATCAAAGTTATTAGGTATCTATCAGATATTTTTACTATTACTTATATTATATTATTATACCTATTATATTATATTACATATTTTATTCTACCTCTCCTCCAACATAAACTAATAATTAATTTCTAATACTATCAACCCTAATCACTGGCATTACTGCATGGGTTTATAATTGTATGGATCTACCACACCTATATGAATCTTCCATTTCAGTATGTACTAATTCTTGTAACTTTTCAATTTTAGTACCTACTGGATTACTTAAGAAGAGACATATTAACATAGATAGACGGATCATTCAATCAAATATACTTTGTTGTGAGGGCACTTTAAGGTAGCATTTCAGTGGCGGGGATGGTTTCGGATGTTGCTCCGTCCATCCACGTTACTTTATATTAATAGCAGGAAAAAAATTACTGCTTACTTTGTGCAATGTGAAAGATAACTTATGCCTTTCGGGTCTAACGTAATGATCGGTAGCGACCATGAATACCAAAAAAACAGGCACTAAGCAAATAGCAGTAAAAAATATCACGCATCGTCGAATCACCCTCCAACCGCTGGCTTGGCTGCGCTTAATTTTTCTCAGTCTCATTCTCTCCTTTTGTCATTATTCTGTTTTTTTGTACACAGTTGTCTTCTGTTTTTGAGTTTTCTTTGGAAATTGCTTTTCTGTTATGCCATTGATCACATTGTCGGTATAAACGATGAAGGCTGGGCGTTTTTAGGCTCATAAATGTTTTCTTTTTAATCTGGAAAAAAAAAGATTTTGTATTTGGAAGTTTCCAACTTCTAATACCTAGTACTTAGGTATTCAAAACATTGGACATATATACCCATTGTTACCAAATAACATTGTGCGGAAAAGAAGACGTCACTGTGCACAAGCGATGCTTCTGTAGAAAAGTATTCAGGACTTTCTTCCCATTGTATATGCATTGGATAGCAAGAAATTACGAGAATAAGAAATTCTAGGGATTTCTGTATTGACTGGTTTCGTTTGTGAAGCGCGTAGTTTGTAAGTTAGAGTAAAAAGTCAATTAAACTAAGATAATTTCTAAAACTGATAAGTGATTAGTGAATTTGTAAAGTTAATTAGCTCAATACCGATTGTTATTTGTAGAGAGAATTTTAGTGTTAACTGCTTTTCAAGAAACCATAGTTCTCTAGAGAACTCAGCAAAAATAAGTTTTTTCTACTTTGAAGCTTAACTACTACTTAAAATAAATCTTTATACAGTCATGGCTCAATTTAAACCAGAATACCTAAGTTGTGACCCCAAGTTTGATTGAAATACTTATTTGCTAAATAAATACTTAGCAACTTGCACATCCTAATTGGTTATTTGTATGCCATGGCATGGCGAAAGAAATGCCGTTTGCAATAAGAAAAGTTATCGCCGAGGCTGCCTGCGGCTGTGGCAAGTTAGGTTTGAGGACGCTAAAAAGTTTCGTGCTGAACATACATACACATTATTTTTTTTGTGCAACTATGAAAATTATGCATAACTGTAATCCTTTTGAAGAAACATATGAGGGGAACCAACCATCAGTACCAAGTCAAAATACAGCCCGGTGGCAGTGGTAGGCTGGTGGCATATCAGCGTTACTATGGATATCAATTCAATACCGAACTTGAACCAACTTCTGAAAAATACCAAATAGAGCTATCGAAATGGCAACGGCAGCATGGCACCAAAACTATCCCGAAAATTTTTTTATTACGTAGAACTTCAGCATATGACCCCACAAATAATTGTTATGGACTCGAACTACTAAAGTATAAAACCAGGAAATCAGACCACATCAAATCAGACTCTGAAGCGACTTTAGGAACCAGCCGAAGGGAATTAGAACTTGATTATTTCACCCGCGTTTATATTTTTGAATTTAAATAACGCCAATAATTCAAAACATCTTAAATAGACTTCAGATGAATCTATACAAAAACTTACAGATATCCATCGCCAAAGAAGTGGAAAGCCAAATCAAAAAAATGTTAGATCAATAAATCATTAGACCTTCAAATTCTCTCTAGGAGTACCCAATTTGGCTGGTGCCCAAAAAATTAAACGCCTGGCGAATGATAGGGACAGAGGAGTACAGAAAAATGAATAGAAAAACTATCGACAAAAATATCTTTTGTCTAACAACATAGACTTAAGGCCCCCACAGACTGCGTTTTTGTTTGACGGTTTTGTTTGACGAGCAAATCTGCAAAAACGACAGATCGCAGTTGCACACAGTCCTCGGTTTAGTTTGGCGAACATCAGTCATGTTGGAAAGTTTTTAATTATTCTTTAATTTTAATAATGTAAAATTACGTAGCTATGCACCACACACCAAAACCCGGGCTTTTTTGAAAAAGTCCAACCCGTCGGGTTTCTTTGGGTTTTTCTGGGTTTTTATGGCTTTTTTGTTTTTTTTTTGGGGTTTTTCGGGCTTTCAGGGGGTTTTCGTTTTTTTTTTTCTTTTTTCAAATTTGATTTATAGTTTCTGCCTCGGTTTCTGCTCTAGCAAAAGTATTACAAAAATTATGGTTTTTGTATTAAAAATAAAATATCCTTACAAAATGAAGCAAGCCACTTGATATAAATAATTACACTTGGCATCAGTGCACTGCACCATGCCTCTGGCTGGCCAGCCCAGAGACTCCGTGTCATGTAAAATTCTACATATCGACAACCATGCCACACAAAACAGTCGTTTTTAAAATTCGTAGCCCACACACTTCAGATTTGTTGACACATCGAACATATCCGACAGACAAAATCAGGCGAAGCCAGATATTTACATCGATTTTGTATGCCAGCAAAAACGACAATTCGGTTTTACGTCGTTTTTGCTCGACCAGATTTGCTCGTCGGACAAATCCGTCCAACAAAAACGCAGTCTGTGGGACCCTTTACGTTAACTTCTCATGCATCCGTCATACGATGATACGAAATTATTCCTATTGATTGAATTTGCAGCTCCTCAGATTTATTTATGTATTTATTTATTTATTTGAATAACTTTATACAGTGGCGCAGCCAGGTTTTTTATTTGGGGGGGGCGTATTTTAAGCCTTCAAAAAATAACTTCTTGTAAGTGATTGTATAATTAGAGCTGCTGGGCAAAATGCGATTAATGATACCATATGCAAATAGATCAAGTCCATGCTAAAACACAGGACTATAAACTCGACTATTGCTGAAACCTCTATTAAAGTGACCACGCCGCGACAAAAGGATGCCCACAGGGCGGAGTACTTTCGCCAGTCTGGTGGCATCTGAAACTAAACGATCAAGGCTACATCACCCTAGGCTACGCGGATGACATAACCGTTGTCATTAGGGGAGGATTAACCAAGACGATATCAAACCTCATGCAGGACGCCTTAGGAATCATTGAGGAATGGTGCACGAGGGAGCAACTTCGCGACAACCACTCCAAAACAAAACTCATTCCTTTCACAAGAAAAAGAAATCTGGAGAACCTAATCGCCCCCAGTCTATTCCAAAAAACCTTGAAGTTTGACAGGGAATCTAAATTTCTAGGCATCATCTTAGCTATGAAGCTGACATGGCACCAATAAAAAGAGCGATTGGGAAAACAAACCGTCAGTTGTACAATGGATATACACTACGGTTGTAAGACCAATGATAACATATGGTGCACTTGTATGGTGTCCTAAAGTAAACCAAAGACAAGCAAACCTGGAGCTAGCCAAAATCCAGAGACTTGCGTGTATTTGTATTACCGGTGCCCAGAGAAGCACACCAACGGCAAGTATGTCAACCTCTGGGAGAATACACTACTGTATTCCAAGCAGAAATATATGCCATCGACTCCTGTCTGAGAGAAAACCTGAATAGGGGATATACAGGTAAAAACATCCTTATCTGCTCAGATGGTCAAGCGTCGATTAAAGCACTCAACAGCTTTGAAATAAAATTCAAACTTGTCTGGGAATGCTGGGAAAACCTCAAAAACCTAAGTATGGCCAACAAGGTAACCCTTAAATGAGTGCCAGACCATAAAGGAATTGAAGGAAATGAAAAAGCAGATGCTCTGGCAAGAGAAGGATCGGCAACCAGTTATACTGGTCCTGAATCGGCAATTGACACCACAAAATCATCGGTAAGAACAAAAATAATCCAATGGGTGTATAGACAACACAAAACCTATTGGCCAACTCTTCCGAAGCTCAGACACAGTAAGCTAATGGTACAACAACCATTGTCTAAACTTACTGAAGAAATCCTACAAACTAAACAGGAATCAAATCAAGCTAATAACTGGACTTATAACTGGATACTGTAGCCTGAGAAAACACCTTCACACAAAGGGCATCTTCCCAGAAAAACCCATATGCAGACTTTGGGACACTTTGGGTCGAGGAGGATGAAACCGCCACCTACATAATCTTTGAATGAGAGGCTTTACGTTGGTGGAGATACAGACAGATAGGGCCAGAAGACCCTATCTTTAAACTCACCAAAAGTAACTCGGTGAAGAGGCCACCAACCAACCCAGTGATTGTAAAGTTATCTAAGTAAACACACGCTGTTCACTCACCTAAATCAACTCGCTGTAGGAGGCAAAACCTTTTAGGGGTGCCATGTATGTAAAATGGAAAGTTTGTAGGTACCTATTAACCAAAATGGCAAAAAAAAATATTTTTACCGAAAAATTCTTCGTACCAGTGCTAAATTTCGGGAGAGGTTTTAACCCCCAAACCCCCCCCCCCCTTGGGTGCGCCACTTTATCAACACTTACAGTAATTAACGTAAAGTGGGAGAACATACAACCTAATTCTAAAATTAACAATATTAAAAAACAAGACACAGAAAAGACGACAAAAAACTCAAAACTAGGAGGAGAGTCTAAGATACTATCAATGCAATCATCTGTTTTGAACTACAGTGCAACATATCTATTTTATTATGGTCAAAAATTCATTGGCCTGTGTGTTAAATAAAGGGGACAAATTTTTATTAGGGTTTATCCAAAATAATCCCCTATTAACTCTTAAACCAACTTTGGGATCATTCAAATTGATATGCCTGACAAGGTCACAGTGCTGATTGGTAAGCTAGGAAATGTTGTAATTTTTATTTATTTGCAAAGTAAACATACCCAATAGGTAAGCAAAGATGCCAAACGTAAAACTTAAAGTAAGATAAATAAGTATGGAACTTTAGCTCAAAGGTGTCATATCGTACAATATCCAAAAAAAGTTACAACTTATTTTAAGTTTATCCGATAAAGGATTAAATGTTGAAATTAATTAGTGAGAAAATATTGTGACCCATCAGAGCGCCGTCGGATAACGTTATCATCTCATCTTATGACGAATGCATGACAAGTTACCTACCCTAGGTATGCAAATTAAACATGTTAATATAAAGAACATTATACTGATTATACAACTCACTGTACATACATTATTCCCATATGACACGAGAGGCTTAATGAGTGATAAGCCTTTTGGGATTATCGCGCTTGGTGGCATTTATGGCAAATTATATTATAGATTTTTTTTTAAATTTCAAAGTATTAAAGTTTAGTTCGTTGTATAACCTTTTGAATACCACTCGATGTTTCAGGATTACCTAATACTTTTAGCTGACACTCAAAGCGTTACCAGCAACACCACTCCTCCTTCGGAGTCGTGGTGTTGCTGCGTAAGGCGTTTCGTGACAGGAAAAAGTATTATCCGGTAATCCTGAAACCTCTTGTGGTATTACATTCGAAAACAGCCCCAGGGT